GTTCAGGTATACCTTCCAACTTATCTATAAGTGATCCGTCTTTGCTTTAATCAAATTGATCAACTTTCTGAACATTGCCTTCTTTGAAATCACAGTCACGTTTGTATCTTGGACTTGGAAGGGATGGATTGCTACCTTCAATATTTGCCAAAGTACACCCAACGCGTCATACTCCTCTGCATTCTCAGATCTGGGTTGGTTGTGTTGCAGCAGTTTTGGCTGGTCTCTTTAATGTGCATGAACTCTCTCATATTCTCTCAGTTGGCACGCTGGTATGTAAACTTCAGTTAATATTCGCTATTACAAGTTTACAACACATAACTGTTTGCTTCTTTTTTTTTTCCTTTTTTATGTGTGATGCAGACCGGTTATTCAGTTGTATCAGCTTGTGTAATCACACTTCGATGGAATGACAAGACCACCAGTTGTCGCTCCCTTGGAAATATGTCAATCTGGCAGGAGGGTGTTCTATGTCTTGTCATAATTGCTCTTTGTGGTTTCGTAGCAGGAATGTGCTATCGGTTTAGCTATGCCATTGCCTTCATGATAATAGCTCTTCTCATAGCTGTTGCTGCTGGTTTTGCTCTCCAGTTTCGACAGGTAAGTACCTTTTATATTAGCCAGTAGTACTAATTAGTAGATCCTCGCATACCTACCTCGTGTCATCTCAGATGTGCTCCATAGTCTGTACCAAGTGATCCTTATTGGAGTGATTACATGGATCACCCTCTTTTGTTTTTCTGCTTGCAAATTGCAACCGTGCATGAATGTGTTAATAAACTAAACTGTACATATCGAATCTACTGTTCCAAGGTATTGTACAGTTGTTTATTCAAAATCTTGCATGGCATGCATTTTCAGGTATATGTGGATCCACCTGGCTTTTCTTGTCCTGGAGTTCCTATTGTTCCAATGGTCTCTGTTTTCTTCAATATGCTTCTCTTTGCTCAGGTTTGCATGACTCAACTTCTTGGATATATCTGCATTTTCTTTCTTTGAATTTAAATATGAAAACTTTGTTTGTACCCTCTGTCTTGGTGTCTTGGCTTCTGTTGACTGATGAATCTTCCTAAGTCATAACTGATGGCAATCATTCTACATCTCGCAGCTGCATGAAGAAGCTTGGTATAGATTTGTCATCCTTAGTCTCCTTGCTGTGGGTGTCTATGCCGGCTATGGTCAGTACCACGCAGTTCCTTCAAGTTCAGACCACCCACACCCGGCCGTTGCTTATCATGGAATTCCTTCTGAAGCTCCATGAGCTACTGCAATTTGCAAGCCTCCGGCTTCATCCCAAAGTTCATGTGCAATACATCTGGGTAGCCTGGGGCCTATTATTTTCCCCAGCTGGAATATTAAACCTCGCCTTGTCACCATGCATACTCCATAGTTCCACACCGTACACTGTAAATCGCCAGTCTTAAACGAAGATATTTTAGCTGGCATCATACCAATATACCATTCACCATAGATGCCAAAAGGACAGACAAGTTGCCCTCCTGTATCTAGAAAGAAGGAATCTAGCAAAGTAGTAGCAATTTTTTGTCACTTCTATGTGCTGAAATGAACCTTTTGATATCACTTCTTATGGGTGAAGGATAGATGATTGCGTTGCTCATTTTTAAATATATGAATCTCACCATATTTTTGTAGGAACTTTACAATAGTCAGATCATTTCTGCTACGAATATCGAACTATGAGAAGTTAAACTTAGGGGTTGTCCAGATCGATGTCATTTCAAACTATACCCTTTTATGGTAAAATTGTTAAAGATGTACATACATTTAGTTTTCTTTTTTTACCAAACTTTGGTAAATACATAAGCAATCATGCCAAAACATTAATATTGAACTATGAGAATATATAAGGGCTGTTCAGGTTTATTTTGGCTTCAATTTGAACCGCCACTTTACACGGCATTGTGTGCATAGTATATCAGATGCTGGATTGCTGGGCCGCTGTTGTTCTTTGCCAATTTTAAGCTTACCAAAAATTTGGATTGCCGAAAAAAAATTGTCACTCATTTGGTTTGCTACCACAAATTTGGCAATGCCATTTTTTATTTCAACACTAGCCTAGCAGGTCTTAAAAAAAAATTGGTAGTAATCCAAACAAACATCTTGCCAAAATTTTGGCAATTGCTAACCTGCCAAAAGAATCAACTAGGCCCGAGTCATACTGCAATAAGCGCTACTACTACTATACTCCCTTTTAGTTATTCCTAAATGATCTACATATTTGTGTTCATTCATTAGGTCTATTCGTTATTTGTACATTAGAGTAAATGGACATTGATACATGCATCCATGCACACAAACATTTGTAACATATATGCAATATCTTGATTTGCTATTGGCTAGGAAATAGTGGGGATGGTGCATGCATTAAGTTTGTTGCTAGAGTAAATATAGTATGAGAGTTATTAGCTTTTCTTGTTATTAGTGTACCTATGAAATATACAGATAAATTTGGAATGGATGGAGTAGTTTTTTCTTCCGTCTCCACACGCTTCACTTAACTACTCATCAATAATTCTGGGACAGCGATAATTGCAGAATTGCAGTACGTACTAGACTAGTTCGTGCAGTGCAGGTACACAATTAAGTCACTTAACTCCGGTACTTGCTTCCCGATCCAACTTAACACCAGTACATGAGTACTATCTCGCGGTGCAGCAACACCGGCCAAGAGACAGCCACAGCGCAGCGAATCGTGAAGGATGGTAGAGTAGGAGGAGCAGCGCGTAGCAATCAATTCATTCCACTGCACCTTTACCTTCCCGTTCCCGTCCCGTCCAGCGCAACAAGCCGCTCCTACCACATGCCCCGCTCACATGCGATTGCACGAACGCATCATCATCGCACTCGCGCCACGTCCGGTGGCGACTGGCCGTGGCCACGCCTGCACGCACTGCTGCAAGTGGTTAAACCTGCCACTCTAGCACTCCTTCCGCCCCCATTTTCACTTAAGCTGTGTTTAATTCACACTAAAATTAAAAAATTAGTTAAAATTAAAACGATGTGATGAAAAAGTTGAAACCTGAAAGTTTGTATGTAGGAAAATTTTGATGTGATAAAAAAGTTGAAAGTTTGAAGAATTATTTTGGAACTAAGCACGGCGCTAGTACTCATTGTGTTCCATTTTAAGTATTTTAAGTATATAGTTGTGATTTCTATGTCCAACCTTTAATCGTCTATTTTGTTTATTTTTTTATGGTTTATATTTTTATTATTATTAGATGATAAAGCATGAATAATATTTTATACATGACTTATTTTTTTTTTAAAAAATAAGCTTTTTAAATAAGTCAAACGGTCAAACGTTGATCCACAACTACACTTAGGGGCTGTTTGGTTCTTAACTAACATTGCCATAACTCATTTTAGAAAATGTTAGACAAGTGTGGCTTGCCACACTTTTTGTGGCCTATAAATTGTAAGCCACACTTGTGGCAAAGTTAGGCAAATGATTGAGTCTATGACATGTGGGGTAGGACGGCAAGAAAGTGTGGCTTGCCATAACTATGGCAATGAACCAAACACAAGGCTAAGGATGTGTGGCAGTCTAAAGTGTGGTGTGGCAAGTTAAAGCATTGAACCAAACAGCCTCTAAAAATTGGACGTAGGGAGTACAAATTATACTACAATGCAGTAGTACATACTCCTACTAGCTACTCCATTGAGTAGTAGTAGTACTAACAAGTTTTTTTTTTTGCGGGGAAGTAGTACTAACAAGTTGAAGAGATTTTGTGGTAGTGTGATACAGATCGATCGTGGCTGGCTACTCAAGCAAGCAAGGAGACAGGCGTGTTTCATGGCAATCGTTACAGCACGGAGCCCCCGGTGCTCGACGACAAGATCTACGCATTAGAGACGCCGGAGAGGACGGGCGGCCGGTGCGTCGGCCCATGGGTTGGAAGCTAGTATAGCTCTGGTGGTGGAGTTTGGAGGCTGCGTTGCCTCCGTTTTGCACCGGGACAGGTCTCCTTCACGTGCACTGCCGCTTTTGCGCCATGATGGGGTCTCGTCCCCCCTGGCCCGCCGTGAGTGAGACGCAGGGGCTACCCGGTAAAAAAGGGGAAAAAATTGTAACCTTCACACCAACCCGACTCTTTTTCTATTTAACACACACTCACCTCACCAACCTGATTCTGACACAAAGTAAAGGCTATGTTCGTCGGTGAAGAAGATGTCGATCGAATCTGTAGTAGGAGCACTAGTAGATGGGAGTAGATCGTAGTAGAGCAATACGCCAATATTAATACGGAAGTTATACTGCAGCCTGTACGCTTGTACGGCTGTACCCATCACCAGTGCATCAGAAAATGGGAGTTGTTGGGGATTTTCAGAAGCTGTGGATGTCTGTATTCTGGTATGCTAGCTCCGAAAAGGAAAAGTAATGATAGCACATGTATCCTTTGTGTCGGCGAAAGGAACGGGATTGATTTTTGAGGCCACTGGGGTGGTGTGGTGAGCAATTAGAATCGCTCATAGTTAAACCATGGAGTAAGAGCACCCGCAATAGTAAAATAAGATATTCTCTATAAAATATGTACATCTCAGCAATAGACTAGATTAATAGTAAACCACCTCAATAATATGTCTACATGGGATCTATAGCTCTCTAATTCATTGTCTCATTTTTCTCTATAGACTATCTCCAGGTTAGTAAATAGCTTTGCTTTCTCTTTTCATTTAATCTCTTCTAAATATAAAAATATGCTGACATGGATCTTTTCTAAAGAGCCTATAGATATCCATTGCGGCTGCCCTGAGTGTGTATGACTAGACGCCACTAAGCCACAGGCTATCAGAAACAACGAACCGTCGTGGGTTAGTTACAATTGGGAGCAGAGAGTGAATTATTTGTTTACTGATAATGACAAATCTCCAACCTTGCAAGGACCAGCATTGGGGAAGGAGCCAATGGCACCACTGAAAGGAATCACCATTCGTGGTTGTCAGTATGTATAGCACAAACGCACATGCAATGAGAGGTGTGGGAGCATCGTAATCTCTACAGTAACTTTAGTTTCATGGCGTCTGGATGAGGAACATTCCAGTTCACATGGAGTGTTTCGATGCATTAAAAGTACAACATATACATTTCACTAACAGTGTGTTATACAGTTCTTCAGGGGCACTGGCCTATGAACAGCAGTTCTACATTTTTTTTTTCGGTTCCAGGTAATGCACAAGAAAAACACAGTGATCCTGCATCTGAAGCACCCCTCCAGCATGTATGTTACTCTGAGTTCATGTCAAGGCTATTCAGTTCCCTGGCCAGCACAAATTCAGCAGGTTTCTAGCCTTGGCCAGGCTGAAATGCCTCAGTACTCGTCATTGCTGTATATGCTGCTATAATGCAATGCCGATTAAATAGCAAGCCGGTAAACTACCCAGTTTAATTTATTTTGCAATCTCTTCGAGCTTTTTGAGTATAAACTTTGTGTTAGGTCTCAATGATGGTGAAGGGCTACAGCAAGCTGTTGCCAACTCGAAGAAAGCATTCAAATTCTTTTCCTTCCCTGACTTCTTGCTCTGCCTGACAAGATCGGAGCTGAATGCATCAGAAATCTTCCTCTCAAGAACCAAATTTTTGAACGAGACAGGCAATAGGATGTCGCGAGGGTTTGGCGTGTTATCCTTTGCTGATTCCTTCTGGGCAAGCATCTCAAGCAGAACTACTCCCAAGCTGTAGATATCAGTCTCTCTAGTGGCATCTCTCATCTTGATCAGCTCAGGTGCCTTGTAACCCTGTGCTGCTGAAGTTTCAAGCATCTCCTGGGCACCAGCAGGATTCAGCAGAAGGTAGAGGCCAAAGTCTGATATCTTGCACTCGTAATTAGCATCGAGCAGAATGTTGTTCGTCTTGATGTTCCCGTGAATTATCGGTTTCTCCAACCCTGTATGCAGGTAATCCAGTCCCTTGACAATACTGATAGAGAGCTTGCAAATTATATTCCATCTTTGTGAATCAACAATTCCCTCTGTTTTCGGTAGCAACAGAAAAACATTGCATGGTTAGCAACTATCACAATGAATGCCAGAAGATGCCTAATAACAACTTTATTGACAAATAATGTTATCCAAAATTCAGCCATCAATTAATATGGTGAATTTTCATCCACAAGCCCAACACTACATAATAAACTGACAGTTTAACTTAATTTATTGAAGATCTAGGTTCAATGATCGAAAAAGAAAAGGAAGATGAAATGCAGTGGTTTGAAAGTAAGACATTGCTAGTACAAAATTCTGGGAGTTAACTTGAAATATCAAATATGTAAATGTGTGCTCTTCTCTTCAATCAAGAGGCAACAATACTTGTATCTAAAGGACCTTTCTACAAAAGCCTGACTGATTAATTGAACACGGGAAACTTGTTATATCCTAATGATTATGGTAGTTAAGGGTTAATTAATGACTTCAACAAACATAAGGAGTCAGGACCATGTCACCAGTACACAGTGCTATGTCATGTTTCAAGCTAAACAAGAGTTGACAAAATACTTTTTGCAATCAGCAATTATAGCAAGGCATAGATTAGAATTAACACCATAGGTCCATAGCTATGAGGTTCCGAGCATGACTATCTTCTCCATTCCACTTGGACTCAAATCACTCAAAATTGAGAGTTTGAGACCAATTGCCCTACTGGTTTTCTTATGTCTTCAAACTCTCTTAGAAACTTCACTATGCCTTTTGCATTACAACAAATTCTTGACAGATCTGTTGCAGGCTTGCAGCTTACAGGTATAATTCATATCCAGCTATATTCTCCATGCTCATGTGAGTTTTTAACATTTTAAAAACGCTGTTACTAATTTAAAACGGAATTCCCCTAAAAAATTAAAATGGAGTTGAACTACCTCTTTTACAACAAAAAGTTACATTTTTTTTAAAAAAAATCACGTTGCTAATTTACACTGCACTTTCACAATGGTGGATAACTAGATACAGAAGATGAGATACGTGCATTGCAGCCTGCGTGCTTTTGATGCTACTCTGCAGTGCAGAGATGACTACTCTAATATCGCAGCATTGCCATCATTGCCTAACATTTCGGGGTGTAAGATCTCTTCTCCTAAAACTCTGACCTTGATCCCCATACTCGAATAGTATAATCAGTCACAGTAAATTATACTTCGAACATTGAAAATTTTGGAACGTAACAAGATTACTACGCAAAGAAGAGCTAAAAACTGCAAAAGGATACGAGAGAACAGATAAAATGCTCCACATTTGTTACCAAGAAACTAACAACAAGGCAAGTAAAATAAGCAGAGATGCAGACCAACCTTGCAAGAATCGCCGGAGCGAGCCGGCGGCGTAGAAGGGGTGCACGAGCAGCTTCTCCCCCCTCGGCCCGACGTAGAACGCGCGGAGCGGCACGAGGTTCGGGTGGCTGACCGCGCCGATCCGGCGCGCGGCGGCGGAGGCCTCGTCGGAGGTGAGCGCGCACGCGGGCCGCACGAACCGGAGCAGCACGGCGGCCTCCCCGGAGCGCATCGCGGCGCGGTACAGGGTGCTGTGCGACGACTTGGCCACCACCTCCCCCGGCGCCTCGAGGATGGCGGCGACGGAGAGCGCCTCCCCGCCGGGGAACTTGACGAGCGCGTCCGCCCTGCCGTACGCCCCTGCGCCGACGCCGCCCTGCGCGCCCACCCCGAGGCGGTCGGCGATGGGGGCCAGGTACGGCTGCAGCGCGCCGAGGCGGTCGGCGATCGGCGCGAAGTAGGGGAGCATGGTGTTGGCCGTCCTGCTCCGGCGGAGGCACGCCGGGAGGCGGGACGTGAGGCGGTCGAGCCGCAGGCCGCGGAGGCGCGGCCGGAGGTACCGGTACAGCAGGTAGACGAGAAGGATCCCGAGGATGGGGAGCAGGATGGAGTTGCTCCTCCCCTTCGCCTCCGGCTCGTCCCCCGGTGGCGCCGTCGCCGCCGTCGACTCCGCCATTGCTCCTATCTCCCAGTACTCCTCCTCCTTTCTCCTGGATAAAACGGAAGAAGCCAATGGCGGTGGGTCACCTTGCCTTGCCTTGCCGTGCTTGCTCCGCACAGTTTGCTTGCTCGCTTTTTCCCCTCGGGTGGAGGGAAGAGGCAGCGGCGAGGGGAGGGTGGCTTGAGATTCTTGTCGTCTCGAGGCTTGTTTCTTTATCACTGTGGGAGTGAGACGACGAGTGTGTGTATGTGTGTGATGGCTTACAGTCCAGCTTCACTCTGTTGATTGCCCTGGCCTTTTTGCCTTTTGCTTTTGGAGGTTGGGGTCGCGGAGCAGGTAGGTAGCCCAGTAGTGCGCAGTACGCGCTGTGGTGGAGTGTGGACGTGACGGCAAATCGGTGATTCTGCCCCGTTGAAATTGGCAGCGGCGGTTAGGGGCAGGAACGGCGGCGGGGCCGGGAAGTGGAAGGTATCCTATTTCTATCGCGCCTCGCGGTTGGACCGGGACGGCGGTGGTGGCGGAGACGAGACACATCACACAACACATGCGGGACGGGAGGGGAGGAAGGGAGGGACCGGCACCAACCGTGGTTGGCTGCTCCGTGTGGCCCGTGGTTACGGCTGCTTTCTGTTTGGCCGTTTCGACGAACACTGCGAGTGCGAGCCTAATTAACTGCGGTCGGATTCAGCCTTAAGATCCGTGCTATCTGGCGTCGATCCGACGGTGTTGATTGATTTCATCTAGTAGCGGACATATCTATCTAGGAGTGCAGAAAGAAAATTTCCCGGTCCGACTAGCTTTCGTGAGGTGCAACACATCAAGGCTTCTGTTGTTGTACAGTCGTGTTCCTTCATGAAGGAAACAGGTACAAGCTGATGGCCACGGAAGCGTCGTATTTCGTTGTGTCCAACATAGAAACCTCCTATCACATCTCGCTTTTAGCAACTACTATCAATAATAAACCTTGGTCCAGACTCTAAACAACAAGTCCCTGTCAAACTTTCGTTGTATTTACATGAAAATCCTTCATCAAGATTCATTTCGTTGATGCCTGCATACCAACATCAATAATAAAGTATATTAAGAATTGGTGTACTTCCAGTTCTATAGATTGTTTTTTTAACAAGTTTGTCATCATCATATAAAGCTCCAATAGTTGCGTAGGATTTCTAATGTATTTTATACCTTTATATTCATTTCAAAATTCGTGCATTACCTAACTTCTCCTGTTTTTTAATCTCTAAGAGCAACTCCAATAAACTATCACATAGCTAGCTCTTCAACTGACTTGGAGAGCCAAGCTTGTTGCTCTAACACTCTCTCTATTTACACACTCTATTTCGAATCTATAATACCGGGACACACATATCAACCTCTACTTCCTCATTCTTCTTCCTCCTCTTTCTCCCCTTCTTCTTCTCCCGTGGCCATCCTTGAGCTCTTCCCTCGGCGACAGCGATGGCAGAACCATGCGCTCATGAGGCGACGATGGCGGCGGTGAGAGGGGAGAAGACGATAGTGGCTGATCCGTGCAACGATAAGGGATAGCAATAGTTATGGCTACGACGACAGATACGGCTACAGTGATGAGCTCGACAAGAGGGGTGAAGCCGGCGACGAGAGGGGAGGAGGTGCGAGGAGGGCTCAGCGGAGCAGCCGCTTGTCCCTTCTTCACCCGTAACTCGAGCGGGGGGAGGACGGGGAAGGCGGTGTGCTGGGCGGGTGACCTAAGAGGATGATGACGGCGATGCTGGGTGAGCGGCACTGGGAGTATGACAACGATGACGCTAGGCGGGCAGGGAGTGAACGGCAGACGTGATGGGAAAAGGAGGAGAAAGAGAGAGGGGGTGGGACCCATGTCGATGGTAAGTTGTCTTGCCTTGCCAACTTTGGCCAATGTGGAGATGAATTTAGCCAGCCGGTTGGTAGGTCTATTGGAGCTTTTTTTTATATAAGTTTGCTAAAATTTGGCTTGGAGAGCCATTTGGCCATTCTTTTAGAGATGGTCTAACATGCCATCGAATTAGGTTACCGAGTTAGGTGTCACTATTGGCATCGCCATCAATCCCCTCTAACCCTATCTATATCTATCACTATCTCTACTATTATAAAAATCGAAGATATTTTTGCCCAAAATTTTAGTGCGTCGCTCTATTTCGATAAGATGTTGGTGTGCAAGCATGTGAGATATCTTTGCCTCTATATCTATTATAAAAATTGATAATTTTTTGGTTCGTCACATCTTTTCTTTTGTCCGTCTTTCATTTCCGACTCTATTCCCTGTTCCGTGCGCGATGCGTGAGATGAGCGATGGCCACCATGCGAAATGGTGCCGCAACAAATGAGCGGATCTGAACCGGTATGCAACAAGCGTGCAACCTAGGTTAATTCTGATTCCCACGCTTATTCATCGTGTCATCCCTGTGATCTCCCGCACGTGCCTTAACAATCCTACTCGATCAAATTCTGGAGCACGTTTGCGGCAACGAATCCAACGCTGCTCCGACTCCACCAAAAATCTCTCCGCCATATATACATGCTCTCGATCGATCGATCACATCTGTGAACAGATAGAGATGGCTAGCAATAAGGCGACGGTAACGCTCCACGGCTGTGACAGCACGGGGTGAGCGTCTAGGCAGAGATGATGTCAGCAACATCGGTTGATCACCGTGATCAGGATAGCGTTGAAGGTCAAGTGTGCCATGGGCCGCGATCGTGACCATGCTCCCGATGAAGCCATCGTCTCAGATGTCATCATCATTCCCGATGTCACAGACCGCTACATCCTTGTCATGTCGTCACGTTTCTTCCGGCGGAGCGATCAGACTGAAGTATGGGTGAAGATGAAGGTTTGTGTTTTGCCGTTACGGAGTGGGTGCATTCTTCATGGTTGCCAGGATGGTTGTGTTGGCCCTAACCAAGCTTAGGCCAAAGACCGAGTCAGTCAACTACTCCCTCAGATTCCATAATTCTTAGCATTTTGAAAAAGGTTGAGGTCTAACTTTTATTACTTTGACTATCAATAATTTTAAAAATATGTAGTTTGAAGGCATTAAAACAACACATATAGATTTGTCTTATAAAGTACTATGGTAAAGTAAAAAAGTATTTATTTTATTGTACATATTATAATACAAAAGCGCAATCAAAGATATATTTTGAAAACCGTATCATTGTTCAATACATCGAGAATTATGGAACCGAAGGGAGCAGAGCTGCACACCACATAGCCTTCTACATGCAAAGTGCAGCCACTCCTCAGTCGACGAATAGATAGTAGTACAAAAAATTCAAAATGACAAATGGTAATAGCTGAATTCAGAACATCGAAATAATACTTGGATCATGAATATTAAATCCTAATCATCCCATGTTTAACGTAATTTTAGTTCTTTCCCGTTGCAACGCACATGTCTTTTAGATATAAATTGAAACATAAGGGGACAAAATAAACATCTAAGGGACCGATAGATATAAACTGTATCAAAACTGAGCGTTTATTTGAAAAAGAAAAAGTTTGATATTTTAGAGGGGGAGGGGGAGGGGCCTTGAGCCCTTGACCCTTTTGCTCCTGTAAGTTTTGTGTCAGAATGGTAAGAGAAAGCCGTACATGTACATACCTAGAAATGGATGCATCCGAAGAACGTTATTTTCCGTTCATTAACACCTCCTTTTATCCGGCTCCTATCGGCATAAAATCACCAAAATAAAATCAAAATAGAAAAAGAGAGAAAAAATGATACAAGAAACATGACGTTACCGATGAACAGATCAGCTGTTCACAAGTACACCCATGTCACGATCCCCCTTCGTACGTAAAATGGCTCATAATGGTTTTACTCACTCCACGGTACGGTGCATGACTGCATGCATCACGTATGCATACTTGCCAAGTTGCCATGAACGCCTACAACCTCTGCAACCTGATTTGCTCCCTGAACTTGGCGATGAACTCGTCGGCCTTCCTGTCCACCTCGTCCTCCACCTCCGCCGCCAGCTCGGAGAGCTCATCACCGTCACCGTTGTAGTCGTCATGGTCGACGTACGACCTTTGCGGCGACGCGGCCATCTCGTCCTGCACGTCAGCCTTCTCGTCGTCGTCGTCGTCCCAGTCGGTGACCTCGCCGTCGTCGCTGAACGACTGGTCGCAACGAGGCGCCGGAGAAATGTAGCTCGGGAAGCCCTTCGACATGGCGGACGGCGCCGCCGCCGTCGCAGTAGCAGCGGGTTTCCGGGACCTGCAGACGGCGTCAAGAACAGAGGGCGGCGAAGGGGCGGCGCCCCAGAATCCCGCCGTCGATGCGGAGCTGTCCGTCTCTGCGCCAATGCCGTCGTCGCTGGCATCGCCGGCTTCGGACTCTATCCCCGGCATCGTCGGCGCCGGTGGCGGCGGCTTCAGCCTCCGCACCGGCAAGGAAAGCGGCCTCCCGCTCGCGCCGCCGCCGCCGCCGTCGTCACTCGCCGCATTGTCGGCGACCACGACGAGGGGGTCGTCGCTGAGGTACCGAGAGTTCCACGCCCTGGCGCCATCATCTCCACCGCCGCCGCCGCCGCCTCCGCCGCTGCCACCGGTGGAAATCTTCTGGGCGAAGACGCCATAGGAGACGACGAGGCCGAGGAGGAAGAGGTGGGGCACCTCCCACACCGCCTGCGCCAGCGATGGCAGCAGGGAGACGGCCCCGACGGCGACGGCGAGCAGCACGGCCACGGGCGCGAGGGCCGAGGAGAACTGCTTGCTGCTGTTCATCGCGTTCTTCGCGACGACATGGATGCCGCCGCCGCCGCCGCCTTGCGTACTGGGAGAGGACGACGCCGCGGCTTCGACGACGTCGTCGGCCATTGCCAGCTTGCGCGCGCGCGCGGGCAGACGTACGCGGAGAAGGCTTGTGCGTGTCACGGCGCGCGGTGTACGTTGCTGGGATGAGATCGCCGTGCTTTGGATGCAAACCTCGCGGTAGCTGCTACTGTTTGGGGATACCTTGCTTTGCGCCGCGGAGAGGCTTGGCTGCAAAGCAACGGTGAATATCGAGATGATGATGACGCCGCGGTTTCAACTTTGGAAGGCTGCTCTGCTCCGCGTGATCGCTTTGGCATAATCACGTCCACACGGTCACGGCATGGTAACAGCCCTAGCCTAGCTCCTATCCTCCAACGAACTGAACGAGAAATCTCCATAGTACCTGCTACTGCCATCTCAAAATAAGTACAGTCGTGAGAATCCGTATACAAAGTTTGACTAGCCATCTTATTTAAAAAATTTATGAGAAAATTAAAATAAGTTAGTCACACATAAAATATTATTCATGTTTTATCATCTAATAACATTAAAAATATTAATCGTAAAAAAATTTCAAATAAAACGAACGGTCAAACGTGAGACATAAACAGTGCAAAACTACACTTATTTTGAGGCAGAGATAGTAGTAATGAATCTAACAAAGATAAAGATTAAGTGGTTGATACGGAAAACATGAAAACCATTAACACATGATTAATTAAGTTTTCAATTATTATAAACTTAGAAAATGAATTTATGTGATATTTTAAAACAATTTATGTGTAGAAAATTTAGTACAAAATACACCATTTAGCATTCTGAAAAACATGTTGGGCAGAAATAGAGAAAAAAATATGTATCTTAATGTCTTCTTTTTGCACATTTTAGCATGCGAGGATGATTGTTTTGCGCGAAAAACAAAAGAAAATGTTAGTAGGATGTCGTCTTCTTTTTGCGCATTTTGGCATGAGAGGACGATTGTTTTGTGCGAAAAACAAAAGAAAAAGGAACGGTTTGATTTCTCGAGAGAAGCGAAAAGGGAAAGATGCGGTTGACGAGGGGCATGGGGACGTCTCGGCGATTCGTCGGGGCTCAGGAAGTTACACACTTGGCCACAAAGGCACCGACACCCCTCGATCACGGCTGTCCGCTTTGTCTTGCTCCGCGCCGGCCGACATCATCCACCATCAGTGGCGATCATTTCCCTCAATGATTCTCCGGGGCTCGCAGTTGAAAGATATCTGGCCGATCATGCTGCTGATACGCACAGAGATTACAGAAGATAGCAATTTGCCTATTCCTAGTTTCTACAGTGGATCCATGGATTCTGTACGATCTACAGTTCTACACCGCTGGTCATAACAGTGCAATGCTCTGTTTATGTGTTGTCATAACAGTGTAATGCTCTGTTTATGTGTTTCAGTCGTCTGTACTTGGGCAGTCCCGGTTGCTCAATGCCTCATTGCCTCAACCAGTGAAGACTGAAGAGTAGTGCTCTGTTTCCATCCAAAGCATGCATTGCATCTACTACTTGTTACCGGCTGGTTCATAGTTCAGACTGATGAGTAGTATAGTATTCACTTGTATTTTTAATTAACAGGACACTGGATCGCTGGCTGGTCTCATGCTTGCTGCCCTGCCTACCCAATACCCGTGTAAATCCATCCAGCTCCAGCAGCATCAGCCGACACGGATGCTTTGCCGGCGCACGGGGGTTAAAATTAGGCACGGTGCAGCTGTGCCCAGCCCCAGTGGGCTAAATCGTCACAGTGTGCAGATCCACCAACCATTCCGACGAAGAATATTATTGCCCCAGGGTACGTCGCAGTGTGCCCAGACATGTTCTGATCATATGTTCGCTTCACTCTACTTCCGGATATTGGAATCACTTTTTTTTTTTTTGAAACGGAGATATTGGAATCACTTTACAGAGCAAGTTCTGCTTTATTACACAGCATGTCATTGTTTCAGACCAAAACTACTCCTGCACTTAGGGGGTGTTTGGGAACTTAGAGACTAAATTTAGTCTTTCTCACAAAATTATAAGTCCCTATGGTAGGGACTTATATTTTTGTGAGAGGGACTAAAGTTTAGTTCCACTTTAGTCCCTCCAACCAAACACCACCTTAGTAAACTACATGCCTGCTCTTTCCGGTGGCAAAATTGAAGCGACCCAGGCTTCTGCATTCCGTAATCTGGGCGCTGTGTTTTCCATTTTCTACAGAAAAAATAGCAACAGAGTATCGAACAGGAACTTCTGTACAGCATACAAGTACAACACGCCGGGGCCTTTTGCAATCGTCCCTTCGGGAGAAAAAAGAGAAGGGAATAGCTACACCTCCGGTCCTGACGCAAAGAGGTTGACAAGGCCTCGGAAAGCTTGAACAGATACCTCACAGGCCTGAAGAAGTTCTCCGTCCAAGTTCCAGACACTTTCGTCATGTGACGATATAAAAGTAAATGCTTGTGTCTGCGGAAATCGGAAGATCATGCTCAGATATAATAACATGAAGGTAAAATGAAGAAAGAAAAGAAAAGAAAATGATACCTTATGATGTTCGACAAACTTGAAGCTCAGAGGATCTGAGCCCTTCTTGGTAAATTGTGTTAGATGCCTGCAGATAAGTCAGAACTCATAAGAACATACTCTGCAAACAGGGATAGTGACCAAATCTAGAAACTAATTTCTGAGTGAATTTAGCATGTTCTTTAGTTTGTGAAAACTACATAAAAGTGGAAATATACTAGATTTATTTTATTTTGTATTCCCATTTCTGTTATGCCTGTGCGGCCATGTTCACTTCAGTGAGTAAACATACATCAACTATGAAAAGGTTCAGAGTTCCAACTCGAGCGCAACCAGTCTATAAAAAATAGCTAAATAGGGATGGTGGGTCAATATATAGGTACCCATTGACCCACTTTAGTTCAACTGAATCAACTAAAAATGAACTCATCTGACTATTAGTTCAGCTAGCTTGGGTAAATGGATATCCATGTATTGACCTACTCCCTTCCTAAATTAAGAAAACTTTTTAAACTTGGGATAATACGCACACCGGACCTCTTGTAACAGATTTCTCACCATAAGTAAAAGGGAAGAGGGCAATCTCTAATGAGCAGAAGATGAAGAAAACCATCAGATAGGTGTGCGTCAGCTACTAGACCATCAGGGGCTCTTTCGTTACGACATGAAATGACAGCTGCACCAACACTGAGAAAACGACCCTTGGACCAGACCCATTTTGGGGTCTCACAAGCTGTTCTGGAACTGTCTGGATTTTCATCTTCTGAATTCTGTTCAGATGTTGAAGTTCCTTTGCATATTAAACAATTTGTTCGGCAGATGGTTTTCCGATGTCTATTTTGATGGTATTGCAGTGTTTGGACTCCATTTGCATTATTCTCTGCCGATGCTGTAAGTGAATGAGTGTTTCCATTTTCAAGAAAAGCCACTTTTGCCTCATAAGATCTGAAAAACAACTAGAGACTGTTAATTTCAAACTGAATAGGTAGATACCAGCACAAATTCATTGTTAATCACCTGTGCTTCAAAAATACCATTGTTCCAGAGAAGTCATATCGCGCAGGACCCATCCACCTGTACTTTTCACTCTCCCTTATAACTTCTCCATAAAATCCATATCTGTAATCAGATTTAAACCACAGGGTTTCAGCAGTTATGCAAAAGAGGAATCCGCAGATGGTCATATCCAAAAGACTCCATTTTTTAATGGATGACGCTGTTGACTTTTGAACACATGTTTGAGCATTCGTTTTATTCAAAAAATGTATGCAAATGTATAAGATATAAACCATGTTTAAAGTACCTTGAGTGATAAAACAACTCACAACAAAATAAATTATAATTACGTAAGTTTTTTTTTGAACAAGACGAATGGTCAAACACGTGACAAAAAGTCAACGGCGTCGTCTATTAAAAAACGGACGGAGGTAGTGTATGTTCAGTGCAATCCATGACTGCCTGTGATGCTAGGAAGAACACAAGAAAATAATATGTTTCCCTAAAAGATTTAGGTTAAAAACATAACAATCTAGCTTGGGTTAACTTTTTGAAAGTGACTTCAACTGAAGCTCTGAAGTTTTCTCCAGAACTTTAAGCCCTTTTATGGACTGATGTTAACGTTGACATAGGATGCCTATGCTGGTACTGCACAACGACACAGCCACATGTAAGAAATAGGTAATCAGAAATCAAATTTGTGGTAGTATTAGCTATATATCATGTCTAAGAGACAGTAGCATACCCTGCAAACGAAGCAGCATAGCGCACAGTTGGTGAAACCTCAGCTGATGGGCTACTTTTCCATCTGACAACTTGAGCTATATCAAGTGATATCCTTCTGCCGAGGATAATAAGCAGAGCAGAAGTCACAGGATCTCGCTCCCCAGTTGTACTGCAAACATCAACAGGGCTTCAACAACCAGAAAAGAACTGAAAGTGATGATCAATAATTTGTATGCAACAATATTGGGCTTATTTTTAGTCATCACAAGACAGCAAATGGTTAATACAATGCATGTGCTCCTAGTGTTCAATGGATTTAAAGCTTAATAGAAGAAAACTTCCCAAGGTGCATAGTAGTGTTGAAGGATCAGCTTGATATTATTTTAGCAGGTTTGTGGGTTATTGCATGTTTGGCGTTATTGCACATAAACTGTCAGGTATGATTAGAGGATCATAAGTTCATAAACCAGCTTGCATGCAACGGAACATAGTTACAGTTTTTTAAGGGATTTGAATTTCCAATGTTAAGCAAACATTGTAATCCTAGTAATACAGATCAGTAAGAATAGATATAAAATTGATTACTACCTGAGAACAATAGCATCCGTTGAGCCAGAAGGAATTATTCCAAGCCTAAACCAATTATTTGGGAAGGAGACTAAAGGCACCTGATCTGCAGTAGCATAAAGTGGAAATGAAACAGGAACTCTATGTAAGTCAGTAAATCTTAAAAGTGTAACAATTTTAAGATAAAGCAATAGTTAGGATTTCGCACTGACCTCCATTGCATGGTTCATCACTAGAATCTACAAATAAGAGACAAGAAAATTACTTACAAGAGAAATTTCTCTGTATAATATGAGGTAGATGTAAATTGTAAAATCAAAGACATACCTGATGACGAGATGTCCAATCCTGTAGATCGTGTGGTTGAAAGAAGGGGCTCATGATCATCAGGTGTGTTAGAACTTCCAGAGATGGCATTTGCATCATCTCCTGTGAGCTCACTATTGCTTAGATCATTATTTCTATGTTCTTGACACTTCATGTTGTTTCTGAAATATCCAAACCCTTCTGGAGTTGGAGGATAAGAATTTGTGTGCCTTGTACTTAGTAGCCCATTCAAAATTTCATTAAATAAACCATCACCACCCTAAAATGTACAGTTTGGAGATCAGGGTAGTAAAACGAGGAGGAACTTCAGTATGCTTATGATTTATGAACAAGTTGAAAAGTGGATTGAGAATGTGAGTTTTTTTTTCTCTCAAAGTGAAAAGTGAAAGTTAGGTTTGTTTCTCTAGTGGCAATCAATGCAAGGTTTATATAGCCATACAAAATTTTTGGACATGTACTAAGTAATCTCCAATTCTCCATGAAATTTAACCAAGAGGTATATTTTGACAAGCTTGAAGTGTTTTTCAAAATACATAATAAAGCAGTAGAATATGAGCATGCTCTTGTGGCCAGATGCAGCTGATTGTGGATCATAACTAAGCGTGTTCTCTGGCCTAGCACTCATCTTGTAATTGTGATGCTTAATATCAAACAATGATAGACAAGCATTTATTGTGTTCTAATAAAAAAAGGGTAAGCATAAGCATCATAGCACTTCCCTATAACTATAAATTATTCAGGAAAACAGAGAACATTATTTTGAACGAATAAGTAGAAAAAAAATCACTCAAGTTCACATACCACTGCAATAACACCATCAAATTTCTTGAGATCTTTATCTGATAAAGATGCTAAAGTATCATATGCATGTCCTGCTCGCTGTGTGACTATCACCTGAAGCAATGTGCATATGAGGCGATCAGGAGTTGGAGCTTTGAGGGTTGTTCAACAAAAAACTTATAATGGTAATGTCACAAGATCAGAAAAGAAAATCAGTCATACACATCATATGCTCATCTTTAACTGTTATAGATTTTTTATACTTCCACTGGCAGAAGTTTACCTTCGTTTTTACTTTTGCCCGCTCAAATAATGGAGCTACTGTTTCCCAATTCTTACACCCTCTACCTTTTCCACACAATGGATGGACAAATACCTACAACATGAAAATTAGTTGATGCAAGAATATAAGACCAACGTTGAGCAGCACTGACATGTTTGTCAAAATGCTATGTCAAGGAGCAGAAAAGCACATCATATTTACCATGAGGCTCTTGGGCCTATCCTGTTCCTTATTTATGCACGTCTTTATATGCTCCACCCAAGTTTTGCAGGTTTGCTGGTCTTTATGACCAAAAATATATTCACAAGGTACCCATGGAGATGGTCTTTTTCTTGGTCTTGTGACCGTGTGTATGACAAATCGGTTCATCTGCATGAGCAACAGTTTTTTGTCAATTATTTGTAAAAGGTGTCATCTGGAAGAGCTTATATAATGCATTATTTAATATGGCACGAACGCTTTGACACATATTACAGAAAATTAAGTCTGCAAAGTAACTAGAAGGGATGTTATACCTCAGTATTTATCTTGCCTTGAACGGTAGCTCTTGCATTCCAAGGTTCACATACAGGACCCACCTCAAGAAGCTCTACAGCATAGACATCTGAAAACTTAAGCTTGCTCTCTAACTTAGGTTGCATTATGATAGATGACCAACATGAAGAACTCACTTCCTGCAATGTACAGAAGCACAATGAGCAGAAAACACACAGGTGCATGTCAAAAGCAAACTGATAGCTTCTATGAGTACTTGTATGATTTGCAGATGGATAATGTAAGTCTGACGGAATAGTAAAATTGCACTATCCTTGCTGATAGGAACTAAATGCATGTCAAAAATGTCATATTCACCAACTATGTCTTTCCACACGAGCTGGAAGTCTGGAGCTCTTTATTGAATATTTCAACCAAGGTTCAAGCTGTGTTTTGTGAAATGATAGCTTCACAAACACACTACTAGTGTTCCTGTTTCTAGTTTGAGTAAGAATATTATCCCTTTTAAAAAAGCATGCTTATGCTGGTCACAGACGCAATCACACATCTATACACCGTCATCAACACAAGCTACTTATGTTCCAAACAGAAACTTCAATATCGCCATGTTGGCCAAGATAGCGATCCTCTCCTGAGCTTTTCATTAACCACTGATTTTCATGAATCTCCTGAAAATTGTTGGTATAAATAGTGAACCAACTAGCCTATGTTCAGAATTCTAATAGGTACAGTACAAGGTTGTAGATTCACTATTTCAGACACCAGCGCATTATTCATCGTCTACGCCTCTCTATCTACCTTCCGTTTCTTCGATTCAAGAACCCGAAGACCGGAAGCTACGAATTTCCTGACTCCATCCTACAATTCAACCAAGACTCCTGTCAAAACCCCAGTTAAGTCTGTAGGATCTAAAGACTAGATTCGGGGTGAGCGCAGACGGGCAGAAGGGCAGCGGCGGGTGCGGCTGTGCGTAAACCTGGTGAAGGGGCTGGAAGGAGAGGCCGTCGTCGCCGACGGCCACCGTGACCTCCCCGACGCCGTCCAGGAAGAGCGCCTCGCCGCCGCCTTCCATGGCCTTTCCCGCTTGCTGTTGCTTGGTCTCACGACTCCTCCCCGGTCACCCGCGGTGGGGGAAGAGGAGGGGCAAATGCGAATTCTTCCTCTGTTTTTTTTTCCTTTTTCAGTTGGGTCTGTGCGCGCTTGGGTCCGTGGTGGCTGCTTTCGCGTGTTCGCTGGCTGGACGTTTTTGACCAACGGCGCCTTTTCTTGTCAGTCCTTGTGCTTGTACAGTTCAATAACTTTGCCAACAAATTATCCGTAGCAAACGACTATTCTTACTGTTTTTACTTCTCTTAAAGTTTATAAAATATGGAGAGGTCAAAAAAAAAATATAGTGGTTTGAAATTACAAGAGAGTGCCATCTCACAATCACTTATAACTTTAGAGCAAGAATAATAGTTTCGTCGACAACCGAGTACATAACATCTAACTCATCTGCACAAGGAGCTTTATAGCAAAGATCATATGCAATAGCAGGTTGTTAAATTAGCAAACTGCTAAAACTTTTGCGTAGATTTAGCATGGCTAGTCGCACATGTCCCACAAAACCACGTGAGTTTCCGTCAGCATGGGCTGCAAGTGGGTTACGATCTCTTTTTTCCGGTGCTACCACCTAGCGATAAATCAACTGCTCGTATTTCTCTCTCTTCTTCTCTCAATCTTCTACCTAGAATTGAGGTAATGTGGATCAATTTATCACCCGCTGACTCATCTTTATTGTATCTGCTATTAAACTTCTCGAATGAAATTGGATAAAATTCTGGATACTCGTGGCACGTTTTTAAACCGCTAAACGGTGCGTTTCGTGAAAAAAAAATTCCTATATGAAAGTGGTTCTAAAACGTCAAATTAATTTGTTTTTCAAGTTTGTAATAATTAAAACTTAATTAATCATACATTAATACCACCTTATTTTACGTAAAACACTTAATCTTTATCTTCAGGAGAAAATAACACCACCCGAGGGCATGCCTTTACATTTTCAGCAGCACTTAAAACAAAATATACCATCGATGCAACCATTATATATTTAAAAATAAATCTATTTGATTTTATATGGTTTGAGGAGAAATAGTTGATTCGGTAAGCCTATTGCATAATTGCACAAACGACGACGAGCAGCAGCAGCAGCAGCACCACCACCACCGCTTCGTCCGCCCCGTGCCCCAACGGCCGACGCTGCTGCACGGCACGGCCCCCGGCCGAATCTGCCGTGCGCGGGTTGGCACAGTGGCACACGCCCAAATTCCATCCCTCCCGTCCCTAGCCGGTTCCTCTCCTTCCTCCCCCCCTCGCAAAAATTCAAAAAAAAGCTTGCGCTCCTCCCGTCCTCCGGCGCCGATCTGCTCGAAGGAGGCCACCCCCAACCTCCCCGACCAAACCAATGGCTTCCTCCAACGAAACCTACCGCGTCGAGCTCCGAGCCGCCGCCCGCCAGCTCGGCGAGCGCGGCCTCTACTCCGCCGCCAAATGGTACGTACGCCCCCCTTCCCCTAAAACCCACCAGGGCCCCCCTCCTCTAAACCCTAACCCTAACCCTAACCGCCGCCGCCTCTTCCTTCCTTTGTAGGGCGGCCGAGCTGCTCGTCGGAATCGAGCCCGACGCGACGCCGGCCCCGTCGTCGGTGATGGACACCCCTTCCTCGTCGGGCTCCGCCGCATCCGGGGGCCGCCTCCTGCACCTCCACCGCAGCGGCGGGTCCAGCTTCCGCCGCCGCCTCCGCCCGGGCGCGGCCGAGGCCGGGACGCCGCTCGGCGGCGTCTCGTACGTCAGCACGCCCATCCCCGACGACGACGCGTTCGACGTGGGGGGTGATAGGTACCTGCTCGCCAAGACCTACTTCGACTGCCGCGAGTACCGCCGCGCCGCGCACGTCCTGCGCGGCCAGACCGGCCGCAAGGCCGTGTTCCTTCGGTGCTATGCCCTGTACACGGTGAGTTCGGATCCTATTGTTTTTTTTTAATTATTATTTTGGTGTGCGCGGGCGTGTTCCAGTTTGCAGATGTTTGGTATAGCGAGTGGTGTTTGTCTGCTTGAGGAAATGTCTCTCTGGAGCTGCTGCAAATATTTACGGCTGCAATTCGCTTATAGAGTTATTCATATTTTTCAACCTGTAGAAACATCTGATTAGTTATCTTGACGTGTCAATGGAGTAACAGTAGTGGGATCTTACTGAAGGAAACAACAGGAATACATTAAAATTGTTGTAAAAACGTAAAAATATTTTTATTTGGTATGTTCTCCTTTGTTCATGGTTTGGGCGCTAAATCTTTGAAGCCCTAGGAGCGCCGATACTAGGATTTACTTGTCTTAATTTCCCCCCATGTCATGGTATAATGATGTACTGATTTATGTCAGTTTAAACCTTAGTAATTTGGTAAATGTCTGAACATATTGAAAAATGCTGAACCCTTTATTTTACATAACTGTTGCTTATTTGCTTCGTTCCTGGTTGTTTGGTGTCCTTAATTATGCATTACAGGGATGCTTGATTATTTTTATTGTAAGCAGGGGATGCTGGTTTGCTGCAATGTTAACATTAGACGAATTTATTGCATGCAGGAATGCATTTTACTAATACAGTGGTTCTGTTGTAATGAAGTTTGGAAACATTATATTCTAATATTGAGATGTATGGGCAGTATAAGATGTTAACTTATAGTAGTAACATGATTGCCTGATGCAACAAGGAGGGCTGAGGATCCAGGTCCATAAATGATTTATCTTTTCCTCTTTGCTATTTAATTTGTGATCTGCTAAAATAGGAGTATAGGACACGCCATAGTAATACAGTATATAACTGTACGCTTGAGGCTATGTTGCTTTTGATTGCTAGTGTGCCACTAGTGAATAGTGACTAGTATTGAAGTATTCAATTTAGAACCGTGCTGATTTCCATTTTAGCAGGTCTTTCTATTACCTGGATTTTTATTTAAGTTGGTAAGCTTCACTGTCAATATATACAGTTATTGTCAATCTTTGCATCAATGTATGTCTATATACACTAACTTATTAGATCGTACAAATGTGGCTAGCAGTCTTCTTATCCATGGAAGGATTCTATTAAATGATTTATCTTTTCCTCTACAGGTTATCTAATCTTCTAAATACTAGAAACTGTCTCCCATTTGCTTCATAGTTTAATTAGCATTTTGAAATTTGACATGCTTGGTGATCATAGTTCTTTTCTCTACAATTTAGGCTGGAGAGAAACGGAAAGAGGAAGAAACAGTCGAGCTTGAGGGATCTCTGGGCAAAAGCAATGCTGTTAATCAGGAACTAGTTGCATTGGAGAGAGAGCTCGCAACACATCGGAGAACTGGTGCTATTGATTCATTTTGTTTGTACTTGTATGGCATTGTTCTACGTGATAAAGGCAGTGAAGCTCTAGCTAGAACAGTTCTGGTGGAATCTGTCAACAGCTACCCTTGGAACTGGAGTGCTTGGTTAGAGTTACAATCTCTCTGCACTAGCAGTGACATTTTGAACAACTTAAATATCAAGAATCACTGGATGAAAGATTTCTTCCTTGCTAGTGCACATCTCGAATTAAAAATGCATGAAGAAGCTTTGAAAAGATATGAGCGCTTAATGGGGGTTTTCCGTTGCAGTGACTACATTCAGGCTCAAATAGCTACCGTGCAGTATAGTATGAGAGACCTGGATGAAGCTGACATGATTTTTGAAGAACTCCTTAGGACTGATCCTTTCCGTGTGGATTCTATGGACGTTTACTCAAATTTATTGTATGCAAAAGAAAGCTCGACTGCTTTGAGTTTCCTTGCTCACAGAGTATTTTTGACAGATAAATATCGCCCAGAATCTTGCTGCATAATTGCAAATTACTACAGTTTGAAGGGGCAGCATGAAAAATCAGTTCTGTACTTTCAAAGAGCGCTGAAGCTTAATCGAAAGTATCTTTCAGCTTGGACTCTTATGGGACATGAGTTTGTTGAGCTAAAAAATACACCTGCTGCGATTGATGCCTACAGGAGAGCTGTTGATATAAATCCCAGAGATTACCGTGCTTGGTATGGTCTTGGTCAGATCTATGAGATGATGGGAATGCCGTTTTATGCAGTTTATTACTTCCGTAAGTCATCATACCTACAACCTAATGATGCCCGGCTTTGGAATGCTATGGCTCAGTGCTATGAAAGTGATCAACTCCAGATGATTGAAGAAGCCATCAAGTGCTATGAGAGATCTGCAAATAATAATGACACCGAAGGAATAGCACTTCATCAGCTAGCAAAGTTACATGGTATGCTTGGACAATCAGAGGAGGCAGCATTTTACTACAAGAAGGATCTAGAGAGAATGGAAGTTGAGGAAAGGCAGGGCCAGAATTTTGTTGAAGCTCTGCTTTTCCTTGCTAAGCATTGCAAGAGCATAGGCAGGTTTGAGGAGGCAGAGCACTATTGCACAAGGCTCTTGGATTACACCGGTCCGGTAAGTTCAATTTTACACAAAATTCCTTTTACTTACTGATGAAAATAACAAAAGATGGAATGGAGCAAATAGACTTCTTCTTATTTATTGGCTTTGTTAATGAACACTTATGTTTGCGTACTAATGTAGTTCAAATAGACTTCAACTCATCCAGTAAGCATTCACTTTGATTTGTTCTTTTAGGGTGCCTGATTTCTTTACTCTGGGTCTAAGAGTGGGAACTGGAAAATCATGTTTTTCATTCATAAATAATCAATCTTTGTTTGATCTCTTCTTTCTGATGATTCTGATTCACTACCACCCGTATGTTCTATATTTACAGGAAAGGGAGACTGCAAAAAGTATTTTGCAAGGGCTAAAAAGAGCACAATCGGTACTTCCGTTGATGGATATCGACCATTTTGCAATGTAAATTTGACTTGCAGATAAGTTATTTAGTTGGAAACTAAGGTGTTAAGTGAGATGTACAAGAGAAAACTACCCCTTGCGTATTCTTTTCTCCATTTTTGCATGCATCGAGGAAAGCTACACATTGGTTTCAAGAGAACTGCTATAATACAGAACAGTCATCATGAACAAAGGGGATTGGTTATCACTCACACCGCACCAGGCAAGGAAAAGAAATCTATCTAAGGCCACACACTGACCCACCTGATGAAACTGGTACTTTGCGTATCTCCAGTACCAGTAGAGCAGCCACTTCCGAGCTTCATAATGTAATCCTTATTGTTTGTATCCTTGCCAGAAAACTCCATATTGCTGGAGATGTTGACCTTGTGTGCATGATGATCTCTTCCAGTTGCTGAAGCTTGGTAATTAGTAACACTAATCGCCGGCATGGGGCAAAAATGAGCGTCATCGGGATGATGAAGATCGCTAGCTCAAGTATCGGCATTGCTGCTTGCTTTCTGCTAGGTTCTGTTTCTATGGCTTTTCTTCACTAGATTGCTTTGGTCTGTGTTGCACTCAAAGTTCCATGGAGTTGCTTGCATATATAAGCTTCTTGGAAGACTTGCCTTGTCTGGATTCCAGTTCTCATATTCTTGCTTGTTAAAATAATTGTTGATGCTTTCCTTTCCAATAATTCCAGTTTTGTCAATTTTTTATTCTGTCTCGCACCTATCATGCATGTTTCCTGTGTAAGGATCATTATTGATTGCGTTGCCCCACTCGATGTAACACCACTGGAATCGTGGAATCGGTGGGATTAAAGTATCTTGCAATTACGCATATCACTATATTCATCTGTTCGATCTATTAACGTGTAAAGTCCTTTATACGTTCCTTTCTTTTTTAAGTATGTCTTCCTGCTTACTCCACTTTATAAGCACTTTCCGGTTTAACAATACACAGTTTAGTTAGAAATGATCCTGCCATCAGGATTTGTTTGCTGAAGCTGGAGAGTTCACACTAAAACATTTATTCTTTTTTGTTGGCTGGGAAGTTCACACTAAAACTTAACATTGGCATGCCATTCGGTTTGGGGCTGCACGGGGCAATATCAGCGTGCAGTTTTGCATTGTGCTCCCCAAGCCTCCAAATGATACGGACAACTAGCACATCATCACCACATCAACACGACCGACTGCCCAACAACAACGGCAACTACTGGCAGCCAAAACCGCAAATATACACACACATTTTACCACACAAGCACGAACTGAAATGGAACTATCATCTCACCGATTGTGTTCACATCTGCCAGCGTCCAAACGTAGCATCATTGTTACGAGTCGACGTTGGCTGCTTAACGAGCTACTATTTTTTTCGTCTCTTTTCAAAGGCTCCCCCATTCCTGGGCCTGGACAGCTGGACCAGTTTCAACAGTGAACACCCATCATCAATCCATCATCGGCGAGTGATTGGAGAGAAGGGCGAAGAGAGAAACGGAGAGGCACTTTGGGATAGTTCAATGTACAAAACAGCACCATTATTTGGTCTTTTTTGGCATTAAGTTGGTTCATTAAAGTCCAAGCTGTTGCATTAACGGTGATAGTTTTGTCTCAGTTATTGTACCCCCATGGGTACACATATCTTTTGCTTCTGTTTAAGTACTACCTCGCCCAAATACAGCTTCACCATTGCATGACGCCAGGAGTTTACATAGCCAAGGCAATAATGACTAATGAGCAAATCATTCATACGTCGATGTGACTTGTTCCCGTTAAGAAGCACACTGCCCGCCATTGACAAACAAAGCTCCAGCGTAACAAGGAAAACAAAAGGCTCTTAACCGATCGGAACTTTCGATATCGCTGCGCCATTTTGGATTTTTGGCCATCTTGGCTCATGTTTGCGTTTCAAGAAAGCCCTTTCACGGTACAGCTAGACAGCGACACAAGCAGGCATCAATGCATCGTGTATTCGTGTATCGTCGTCTCTTCTGGTACAGAGGACTTACTATAGCCTGTATGACAAATAGGAGCTCGTCTTCTCGTATGGAGGAGTACTACGTGTGTGGCTGCCTTGGCTAGCTGGTGTATGATGTTGTACCTTGCACTCAACAATTAGGGGGTGTTTTAGATCCAGGGGTGTAAAGTTTTGACTTATCACATCGGGTATTATATAGAGTGTCGCATGGGGTGTTCGGGCACTAATAAAAAACTAATTACAGAATCTGTCAGTAAACCGCGAGACGAATTTATTAAGGCTAATTAATCCATCATTAGCAAATGTTTATTGTAGCACAATATTGTCAAATCATGGAGCAATTAGGCTTAAAAGATTCATCTCGTAAATTAGTCGTAATCTGGGCAATTAGTTATTTTTAGCCTATATTTAATACTCCATACAGGTGTTCAACCGTTTGATGTAACAGGGTGTAAATTTTTGGGATGGGATCTAAACAGGGCCTTAATCTGGTTCTAGTTCCTCCTATGTTTTTACTTTCTCTGCTCGTCGCTTGGCCCCAAGCTCTATGGTCAACCTCTCGATTGACTGAGACAAATATGTGACTGAGGGGCTATTCAGATTGACGCTATTTCTAACCATACAATTTTTCGGTAAAGTTGTCAAAAATATGCCTACATTTAGTTTTTTAAATTAAACTTTGGTAAATACATAAGAAATTTTGCCAAAATTTTGGTAATATTGCCAACTTACCAAATCCCAACTTGCCAAAATTTGATAAGATTTATTTTGTCTACAATTTGAACAGCCTGTGAGTCTTTGGTTCACTTTCCCAAATCCCAACTCACATGTCTCGTTTTTTGTGCACACACTTTTCTTCTACTGAATGATGCATTTTTTCAAAAAATTCTATACGAAAGTTATTTTTAAAAATCATGTTAATTAATTTTTCAAGTTTTTTTTAGCTAATACTTAATTAATCAGGTGCTAATGGGTAACATTATTTTCTGTACGGGCTTAACTCCACCTCCCGAATGCAGCCTAAGGATGATTAAAAATGAGAGAAAAAGACCGATGCTCTCTAAAAGCGAGGGGTGGGACCAATCCTCTCACTAAGCGAGGGGTGGGACCAGGGTTTTACTAGGAGGGTGTTCTTCAAAGGTAAGGTAAGGTGAAAATTAAATGATACGTGGTTGGGTGAGATAATTAGGTTGCCTCTAGTCTATGTTAAAACTAACCCTGTCATATTTTTGGAAAACCGAAATTTGGCAAAGTTTTGTACCAATACCAAAATTTGATAAGATAAAGGTACGTAGATGTTGTTTGGTTTGATTTCTTGCCAAATATTCTTGTGTGGAGTTATGTCACTAAGTTTAAAGAAATTTATCCAATTAGTAAGGTATGCTAGAGTGCTTGGGATATATCTAGTTTGCTATCTTATTAGAATTTGACAATGCTAAAATCTGGCAGGGTATCCATAATGTGATGAAATAGTGGGTAATAAGCATTGAATGCATCCATGTTACCAGGTAATATACATTGTGGAGGCGGTAAACTACTACTATCAGGGTATAAGCTTACTATAAAGTATTAACACTTTATGGTGGGTCCCATCTATTTTTTTTAATTATGGCATGACTCATGTTTGAAGTTTTTTTAGATGGGTCTCACCTTATTATCCACTCTACACATATATACATTGTGGTGCATATCCAACCTACTACTACCAGCAGGGTTCACAATTCCGACGAAAACCAGTCGAATTCCGCAAAATTTTAAGATTTCAACGAGGCTTGAAAGTAGAAGCCGTCTGAGATTTCGATGAGTTTCATCTAAATTCAAATTTGAATTGATAAAAAAGGAAAAAATCAAATAAAATATTATAAATAGTATGATATTCATATAACCTATTGGGATATAAATTTTCAAAAAAGTATTCTGTGTATTTATTGAAATTTGCAGTAGGAAAGAAAAGAATAACGAATTAAAAAAAAGAAAAAAGACTGTAGTTACCGATTGAAATTTCGATAATTTCGTCAAAGCCGATTGGTTTTCGCGAGCTTATCGGTAAACTTAAGGAATTTGTATTTAAATTTTGGTTTATGAAATTTGTTCGGAATCTACCGGCTTTCCACCGGATTTCGCGAAAACCATCGTTCCGCCATAGCCCAAAACGGAAGACCATCTCGGAATTGTAAACTATGACTACCAGTCTACCACCTGACACGCGTCCACTCTTATACTAACTAGTTTTGCAATAAACATTGGGTGCCCGTATAGCTGAAAACGGAATTAAACTGAACATGCCCGTAGTACTGTAAGATTCTTTGTGAACGGAGTCTCTGTTGGCGACCAGACGAGAGGACTCGGAATACAAATGGGCCGAATAATTTCGAGCCATGGTCGAAATGATCAGGCCCACTGGACCGGAGCCCCGTACCATGCCGGTGAAGAGCCCATCGAACGACCCACCTACGTACGCCGCGTGGTCCTACGCCGACCGACTTAAAGAAAAGTTCAATAAAGACGCCCTGCAACCCACAGGGACGAGGCCTCTCTCTCTCCCTCGCCGCGCCGCCGCCGAACACACCCCCCCCACCCCCCCTCCCCACACGCCTCCGCCTCCTCGCACCGAACCGCCTCGGCGCGAGCGCGAGGGAGAGAGCTCCTCTTCTCCTCCACGGCGGCTGCGCGGCGTCGTCCCGCTCCACCGGGCCGTCGTCTGGATCTGATCTAGGAGCGGTCGCTTCTTCCTCTTCCGGTGAGGAAGCCAGCCTTTGCCCTAGCTATGTAGCTCGTGTTTTCGTTGGGTTTCCTGTGCTTTTTTTTTTTTAATTTGTGGCCGCAAACGGTGGGATCCATCCAGATCTGTGATGTTTGTTCGTGGAGAGTGGTCTCGGTTGATCCCGTCTGATACGGGTTGTTTTGATCTGTAGTTGTTTATTACCCTGAGTTAATACTAGCAATAACAACTTGTTAATTTGGCGATTGGGATGAACCCTAATGGTTCTCGCTGAGTCCGCCCCTATGTAGTATTGCAATATGTATATCATTCGAGCTCTATTAGAAGATTGGTTCTTCTTATTGCAAGAATTGTGTGGTATATTTTTTCTTTGTTTGCAGGATATTAGTTTGTACTAATGCTACTCATTGTAGTTATTGCTTCATGATTTGTTGATCTGATTCCAAGTTTTACGTTTGTAGGAAGCCCTTTTTATCAGTCATGTACGGACGCATGCCAAAGAAGAGTAACAATACCAAGTATTATGAGGTGCTTGGTGTATCTAAGACAGCAACCCAGGATGAGCTGAAGAAAGCGTACCGTAAAGCTGCCATTAAAAACCACCCTGATAAGGGTGGAGACCCTGAGAAGGTCTGGGGACAAACAGTTCTATATTTGTCTACTCTTGAACTGTTGGTTTGGTTTGGTTGACGTTTTACTTTTTATGGCTTGGTCAGTTTAAAGAATTGGCTCAAGCTTACGAGGTTCTTAATGATCCTGAAAAGAGGGAAATCTATGACCAATATGGCGAGGATGCACTCAAAGAAGGAATGGGAGGAGGCAGCAGCAGTGATTTCCATAGTCCCTTCGATTTATTTGAGCAAATTTTTCAGAATCGTGGTGGCTTTGGGGGTAATAAAATTATGAAAAATGCTTTACTTTGATCCTTTATCCTTCTATATTTTAGAATGAAATATGCACCTATTTACTGTTTTGTGGTTGAAAGTAGGTAGAGGACACAGACAAAAGCGTGGCGAAGATGTGGTACATACTATGAAGGTTTCTTTAGAAGACCTGTATAATGGTACTACCAAAAAACTGTCTTTGTCACGGAATGCTCTGTGCACAAAGTGCAAGGGGTAAGTATCTTGCACATTCTCGAGTGGTTCTTTCATACTGAAAGGATTGTTATTTGTTATTGTCTTGAATTATGAATATATACAATTTATAATAATAATAACTATTGACTGCACAATTTATAATATTAATAACTATATTAACTGCCCATGATAACTTGGGGGGTTTACTTTCTTTATCTCTAAACTTAAGTTTGTCTTCAAATTATTTTCTGGATCATTTGAGTGTTAAAAAGTCCCTCTGAATCTTATTTCTATATAACATTTATTTCTGTTTTGTTTATTTTTATCACATAGTGAAGCACTTTTGATTAAATACGTGTAGCTGGTAATGAACTACGAACTTAATTGGTTCATTTGCACAAATGCTATGTTTAATCTATGGGAAGATGCAATGTAGTTTACGACTTGAAAAAGTCTGTGGCTGTATCTGCAACAGGGCTAACAGTAACTGCGTAACTTGTCTATCTGTTTTTTGTGTTATAGGCATTTAACATGATTTTTTTTCCGAAAGTAAAAAAATGAAAAATATTAAGAAGCAACATAGTATATCAAATTAATAGTGAATACATGGGCACCCAAGTTAAACAAGGAAGGAAGTGAGCCTAGCTCACTTGGATTTGAGCTGAATATATACATATGTGGTAGATGTTAAGACTTGTTTTTGTCCAGCTATGCTGCTGTCAGAAGCTGTTCTGCCGGTTCTGACTTCTGAGTTTTGATGGATGTGTTTTAAGAGAAATATGCATGGATTTGGTCCTCGTATAAGCGCACTTCACACACAAGTAATATTTTGTAGTACAGCAGGCTCAAACAAGTAATTATTGTCATGTAACACAACACTTGCTACCCACTTCCCCTCTTAAATTCAAGGTGAAAAAACTATTGTTGTTCTGAAAGTGGGGGTGAAACTCTAGTAACCTAGATGACGATCTGTGCAAATGTACACTAAGGCCTTCTCTTTTCTGAACAACAAAACCAGTTTATCTTTTTTTGTATTATTACTACATCTGTTTCTGTACTTGGCTACTTGCTGTATGTAAGAGTCATACTGCTACCTCTGCATAGCATCTCCGAATTAGGTTACAGGGTTGGATTTTGCCCCAACCATGCAGATGTCCATTTATTGCCCGAACGTTCAGCTGAATTTGATGGTTCTCTACAAATGAAACTTGCAGTTTTGACTCTTGTACTTGTAGTGCTCAATTGTTACTCAGTTTAATGCATTCTTTTTTTTTTCTAGTTTTGTTATATTGGTCTCACTGTTGCCTTACGTTTTTGTACCTTCAGTAAAGGATCCAAGAGTGGGGCAGCAGCAACTTGCCATGGTTGTCATGGTGCAGGAATGAGAACAATAACAAGACAAATTGGGCTTGGCATGATCCAACAGATGAACACTGTTTGCCCTGAATGCAGAGGATCAGGTATGCCATTGTTGTATCTTCATTAGAAGACATCTTCTGGTTGAGTTTGCCTAATGATTAATTTGTCCAGGTGAGATGATAAGTGACAAGGATAAATGCCCGAGTTGTAAGGGAAACAAAGTAGTCCAGCAGAAGAAGGTCTTGGAGGTTCATGTTGAGAAGGGAATGCAACATGGCCAAAAGATTGTATTCCAGGGTGAAGCTGATGAAGCTGTGAGTCTTATTTACATAAGTATCAGGCCGTCATGTGCGAAATGTGGCAACTCGCATCTTGATGTGTGTGTTCATAATATGTTGGAGCTCCCATCTAACATTGCAAATTCATGCTTTTGCAGCCTGATACAGTGACAGGAGACATAGTTTTTGTCTTGCAACTTAAAGACCACCCAAAATTTAAGAGGAAGTTTGATGACCTCTTTACTGAGCACACAATCTCCCTGACCGAGGCTCTGTGTGGCTTCCAGTTTGTTCTAACCCATCTTGATGGTCGGCAACTCCTAATCAAATCTAATCCAGGGGAGGTTATAAAACCTGGTATGCTTTCCTCTTTTGACTCTTTTACCCATTGCTGTCTGCCTTTATAGTTTCTTGTTGGACATGTTGATAGATGATTTTCTTGGATAGGTCAACACAAGGCCATCAATGATGAAGGCATGCCCCAGCATGGCCGCCCTTTCATGAAAGGTCGTCTTTTTGTTGAATTCAACGTGGAGTTTCCTGAGCCTGGTGCACTCACTCCTGGCCAATGCCGATCGCTTGAGAAGATTTTGCCACCACGACCCAGGAATCAATTGTCAGACATGGAGCTAGATCAATGTGAGGAGACCACCATGCATGATGTCAACATAGAAGAGGAGATGAGGCGCAGGCAGCAGCACAGGCGGCAGGAAGCATATGATGAAGACGACGACGAGGATGCTGGAGCTGGACCAAGGGTACAGTGTGCCCAGCAGTAAGAACAATTCGATGCCATTCGGACTAGACGATTTAGCGTCTCTTATCATCCAAAGACCGCGGTAGCTACTGAGTTCATTCTATTCTTTTTTTTAATGTACCCCCACCTAAAGTAGCTGATGCATGTTATGATTTCTCTTTTGTGGGAAATGTTATGCTACCATTTTTGTTGTCTTAAGATTAAGGAGCTTGCTATTAGTCATAATGATGTTGCGGCCTCACTACAATTATTACAGCCTGCCGTATTATATACCAAAATGAGCTAATCCTCGACAATAATTCTTACAGACAGCGGACCGAATCAGTTGTATTATACTATTATGCCTGTGGTTCTGTATGGGGATGCAACCACGCAATGCCTGTGTCATGAATACCCTGAATCCATGATGGTATGGTAGTCAAATGTTGCATGCTTAAACTCGTTTCTGGTCCAAGTGGTATGATCTGATCTGCGATGCATTTGCTCTGCCTACTGGGCCAATTTATTTTATGCTTGCTCTTGTTCAGCATGCGAGGAACAACAGTGCGAGGCTTGGGTTGGACGTTGAAACTGATGCACCACTGGTGGCCACTGGCCAGCTCCACTTGTTCAAGAAGATCCTAACTTCTGAATCTTCTGAAAATCTGAACCGATATGTCCACCATTGCCGTCGTCTGCACTGCAGATCGTTCGGTTGCACCAGCAGGAAACAGTACTGGATCCTGCAGGGAAGGTTAAAACAAAGCCGTCGACCTATGATTTCATTGAACGAGTCTCTGTCTCGCACTGTATTAACATCTATTTAAACAGCTAGTGGTTGAGATGTAACTTTTGTATGGGCAACGTATGCCACTCTAAGCTCGCTAGGCCGGATTTCCAAATTTAAAAACAACATTGGCCGGTCCTGCCAAGATGGTGATCATAGGGGGTGTTTAGATGGGGCTAAAACTTTTTAACCCATGTCACATCGGATGTTTGGACGCTAATTTGGAGTATTAAACATAAACTAATAAAAAACTAATTTCATAAATGAGAGCTAATCAGCGAGACGAATTTTTTAAGCCTAATTAATCTATAATTATAAAAAGCTTACTGTAGCATCACATTGTCAAAATCATGACATAATTAGACTCAAAAGATTCGTCTCGTGAATTAGTCCAAGGATATGGAATGTGTTTTGTAATTATTGTATGTTTAATACTCCAAATTAGTATCCAAACATCCAATGTGACATGGACTTAGAATAAGTCCCTGGAAACCAAACTGGCCCATAGCCTGATAGGTTCTTATACAATTGAAGTACAGAATGAGTAGTTGTACAGATTGCGACTGTTAACCTTTGGTTAGCCAGTACATGACATCCACTTGTTCTTGCAGAATTTCTAGCCCAGCCATTACATGACGTCCACTTGTTTTTGCAGAATTTCTCACATGTATTTTTTAATTCAGGAGCTTATTATTTATTAAAAAAATATTCAGGAGCTTAATTTTTCTCTCAAAAAAATATTCAGGAGCTTAACTATTCTTGGCTGGTAGTGGCAGCACAGTCTCACAAGGCGCTCTGCTATTTATACCTGGAAGGAAGCGCATCTCCTTCCTGCGGTATTCTGTGTGCCTCTCTCTCTCTCTCTCTCCTCCACCTTGTCGTAGAGAGGAGGCGGCCATGGAAGCTGCCGCGATCCATGCGCCCACCACCACCACCTCCTCCGACTCCGGCTCGTGCGTCACCAATGGCACGCGAGAGAAGCGCGAGATCTCTAAGCACAAGCAGCTCAAGCGGAAGAGGAGCACCTCTCCTGCTCCTCCTCCCGGCTGCGGCGGCGGCCAAGGACAGGAAGCGGCGGTGGAGACTGACGCTGACGCTGGCGCCGCCGGCGAGGAGGAGAGCAGCAGCTGCGGTGGCGCTGGCGCCGGCGAGGGCGAGCGCAAGAGGGGTGACGCCGGCAGGCACCCGTCGTACCGCGGCGTGAGGCGGCGGAGCTGGGGCAAGTGGGTGTCGGAGATCCGCGAGCCGCGCAAGAAGTCGCGCATCTGGCTCGGCACCTTCCCGACGGCGGAGATGGCCGCGCGCGCGCACGACGTGGCCGCGCTCGCCATCAAGGGCCGCGCCGCGCACCTCAACTTCCCGAGCCTCGCCCACACGCTCCCGCGCCCGGCCTCCACCTCACCCTCCGACATCCAGGCCGCCGCCGCCCTCGCCGCAGCTGCAGCCGCCACCGACCAATGCGAGTCCTCCTCCTCTGCCGTCGCCGCCGCCACCGCCACCGACGCCGAGGCGGCGGAGTCCACCTCGTCGGCCGCGGCCAGCCCGTGCGCCGCCACCAGCAGCGTCGAGGAGAACGCGCTGTTCGACCTGCCCGACCTTCTCCTCGACCTGAGCGACGGGCTCTGGTGCTCACCCGTCTGGACGACAGCGCCGGCCGATCAGTACGACGCCGGCGACGACGGCGACGACGCCGCGGCGCCGCTCCTGTGGGCCGAGCAGTGCTGGATGGACGCCCCAGCGGCGCCCGTGCAGCCTGACTAATTAAGCCAATCCACCTGCTCCGACTCGCCGGCCGGCCATTGCACCGGTTGGGTTGGTCGCAGCAGTCAACCTATCGACACCATGGGCGTCTTTTTCTTTTCTCTCTGTTTTTTTTTCTTTTTTGGAGGTGCCTTGCTTCGTGTGCAGTGAAACGGCGCCACGCCGCGTTTGCGGTGGGCGATCAGGCGATGTGATTTAATTAATTACGGAGGGGAAGTCGTTTTAGCGCGAGGTGAAACAGCGGATTGCATCGATCGGCGGCAAGAACTGCCTAGACATTTCATTGATCAAATTACTAATTACTCCCCTTCGTGGTTGTGTGTAAATCAATTCGGCAAACATTTTGGGAGAGCCTCGTGTAATTTCGTCTTTTTCTTCTTCTTCTTTTTTATTTTTACAGTAGTAGCGTGCATTGTAAATTTTAGAGATGTGCTATATATGCCTATGGCCTAAAAAGTATTCAGAGACGTGCTATATAAACGATTTTGCTTCAGATAACTCGAACGTTCAGTCATATTTCTTCTCTTTTGTGTACGTATATATCTAGCAAAAACTGAGATACTTTGTGTTGCGATTTTTTTTTGTTTTCTTTATGTACGCGTCAACATCATGTCATCATCCTACTTTACAAAAGTAAATTAGCTCTAGTTCCAGGAGGGATATTACTTAAGCGGCCGGGAATATTGTTTATTGTCTAATTAATTACTCTATAATCTCCTAAGTTCGATAGAATTTTTTTTTAAAAAACGCAACAATGCAAGCAGTGTAGAGTAATTAAACTTGATGAGAGGTGAAGATAATGCAAGTAACGAGATTCCAAAAAGTAAAAAAAAATGGGCCCGGTATGTAAGGTACAGGCCTGCTACACACGGTAATAGAATATTACACTTACAGTACTATTACAATCTAAGGGTTCCATTTATCAATAAAAATAGATGGTCAGATGGGACGAGTAATTAAGAAATAAGACCTCATCAGTCATCAGAAAAAAAAAGGGGCACGTACAGGGTGACGCCACTATCATGTACGCAGAGCTGCCCATTTTCATTTTTTCCGAAATATACTACAAACGCAACGCTCATATACGCGCACGCACGCATCACTCAATGTGTATTAAGAGTATGGCTAATGTTTAGGCTGTGGTTAGATCTAGGGGTGAAAAGTTTTAGCGTGTTACATCGGATATACGGACACACCTTTAAAGTATTAGACGTAGACTAATAACAAAACAAATTACAAAATCCACCTGTAAATTACGAGACAAATTTATTAAGCCTAATTAATCCGTCATAGCAAATGTTTATTGTAACACCACATTGTCAAATCATGGACTAATTAGGCTTAAAAAATTCGTCTCGCAACTTACACATAAACTATGTAATTAGTTATTTTTTTCTATATTTAATACTCTATACATGTATTTAAACGTTCGAGATGACAGGGTGAAAATTTTTGCCATGGGATCTAAATAGGCCCTTAATCCACAGGAAGGCCCCGCGGTAAGGATGGCACCCTTTAAAAATTCATGGAATGCATAAGAGTAGTAAAGGTTGACCCACCAAGGTGGTGTTTGAATCTTCTAAAAATGAAGATGAAGATTAAGTATTTCACGCAAAACGAGATGGTAATAACGTGTAATTAATTATGTTTTAATTATTACAACTTGAAAAATAAATTAATCTTATATTTTAGAACAATTTCGGCATGAAACGCACCTTTTAGCAATTTGAAAAACGTGCCACGAGTATCCAAAATTTCATCCAGTCTTTTCATCAGAAACGAACGGGACCTAAGAATGATAATAGGTTCAAGGTTGATGTAAAGGCATATGACAGGTGGACCCATATATTCTCTCTACTTTAGAGATGGGCACTATATTTGATGCCCGTTTCTATGTTAGTAATGGTAAGAACAAATCTCACAATGTATAAGGTTGGTCCTATTTTTTTCCTCTCTCCTATATAACCCCTCCAAATATCACGCAGATGCTCTAATAGCCTATTCATATAAGCACCTCTGAAAAACTAGCTGTATATCTTAAAACTGATAGTCACCACATATGTCTTGTCGACCATAGGTATATCACAGATCACTAAATGAATAAATGACCGTTAATACACACATATATGTGAACTCTAAAATTTGAACCATTCTACTTAAAAAAGTAACCAATTATGTGCTCAGTTTGCCGAGCTACCCAACTTTTCCTCTCCAGAACACGAAGGTGTTTTATCCATGGTCTAAGCCTGTAAAGAATAATTAAGTTGGTATATACGGAGTTGTTTTCTATACCAAGTGCATTTGCACACTCCTTTGTTTTTTTCTTCTCAAATAATAATTATTAAATACTTATAACAATTCTAAGAATTTTAAGATCATCGTCATATATTAGGCATCTACACCATTTTACAAATTTTGAAGTACAAATTCAATCTAAAAAAGGAAAAACATAAACAAACTGGTTATAAATAATATTGAAAATATTCATACCCCAAATTTGTGTTTTTCTTTGTCAGATGTATATATAGATTAAGAATTTTCATGGAGTGCCGTATAGTATTACAATTTATGTTAATATAATGTATTTTTAAATAAATTTGTTATGTACTATAAGCTGTAAGAGGTGAGTCTATGCATGTACACTGAAGTTACAAATTAAATAGACTGTTTCACGCAATGTGGGCAGTCAACACCACTTTTTATCATTTTTCGTTTCCAAACAAATCTTGGTTCACACTCATGTGTTGTGTGTTACCTCTGTTTTTTTATGGAGTGTTATCTGACCTGATTTAAAATTACTCATAAATTTCAATCACTTTTACGGTTCAGATCTGTCAAAATGTTGCAACTATAGTCAATGAAAACATCATTTCTTCGCTCCGGCCATTCCCACGATTGCTAGCTACTCAAGTCGCTACACTCGCACACATTGTCGACTCCACACCTTGCATGTTGCAAGCTTGCCTCACCGGTGCCAAGCGAGGTCCGCTGAATTAGCCTCTCCATGCACTATTCACTTCCTCTAAGCCTTAGTGGCAACAAGGTGCACTCGCCTTTTCGCTCTTCGTCGTCTTGTAACCACTCCCAACTACAATATCACACCCCTGCCGCCAACTCTGCTTATCGCCCTCGTCCAGCCCTATGGCTCTGATGATAGCGTCACTACTTTGTCTCTCGTCTATTTCCGCCTCTCAGCTAGCTAGTCTATCCAGATAAACCTCTTCTTCGTCCCCTCAAGCCCCCATCCCCATTCTGATCCCAAGACACCACCGCCTTTGACGTTGGCGTTGAAGAAGAAGCTGCTGTCAAGAAGGGCAAATCTTCAAGTTCATCCAATGTCACTAGATGGGTTGAAAATTTTCGAGTTTTCAGGCATCTAAAATATAGCAAATCCCTTTCGCTTTCCTTTTCCATTTCCTCTTTCTACAACAAACCGCGTATTATTTTGGATCGAAAAACGCTGGCTTGTTTATGTCCAATTGGTGGTCTAATGTTGGTTTTGGTGACCTCCAAGGTCACAATTTTACCTACATGAATATAGAAGATTGATCCCGGAATCTTTCCGCTATAGTCGGATTAATTATGCGGCCGATTAATAATTGTTTGACGAAGTTAATCATAGCAGAGTACTACTGCCTCTATACAACTCGATCGCGATGTTTTAGCCAGCATCACCGCTGAATATGCCATGTTCTTCACAACAGGACACATGGCGTATTTGCCCCCATATTACTATGTCACGGCGATGAGCCTGCAGGCTGCAGGACATGCAAATCAGTACCAGCCGTTCATGCATGTCACAGTATCTGTATAATCACCGGCGATGTAATGATCAAACATTTGACGTTTTTTAATGCGTTTAGCTGTACGAAGTTGACATGCCACGGCCACTTTTTGATCGGCATCAACACGCACACGGGAACAGCGTACGCTAAACAGCGTGTGATCAGAAAAACGGCCAGGGTTGATAATTAAGTCATCATCAGAGGATCCAATGCTCCGTGATCGCCCGGGCCCACCCGCAGGGGCCGAGGTCGACGATCCCCGGGCCCACCTGTCACCGTCTCTCCCTCTCGATCCCGTCCGGTTTCTATCGATCTCGTAATAGAAAAGAGCGAAACAAAAGAGAGAAAAAATTGTCATGCCACTATGCCAGTTGCATCTTGGCACGTGGAGGTATTCCATATACTCCTACTTTTTTTTTCATGTTAGGTGAGACGTAGGCTGGGTTAACGTAGGCCATCTTTAGTTGTTTAGTTGTAAAAATTTTAAAGTATATGGATATACATTTAAAGTATTAAATATAGATTAATAATAAAAAATTTCGCTTGCAAACTGCGAGACGAATTTATTAGACTAATTAATCCGTCATTAGCAAATGTTTACTGTAGCACCACATTGTCAAATCATGGTGTAATTAGGTTCAAAAGATTCGCTTCGCAATTTACATGCAAACTGTACAGTTGATTTTTTTCGTCTATATTTAATGTTTTATGCATGTGCCTAAACATTTAATATGACAAGATTTTTAGAAGTTTAAAGAGAACTAAACACAGCCACAACCGTAGTACCCAGTCGTGTTAATGTTAGCTTTGGCTGCAGAATTATTTTTGGCCAGGACCCCTGCACCTGCAGGACCATGGGTCAGTAGATCACCAACAGAGGAATGGCACTATAGCTTAGCTAGCGGCTCGCAGCATGAATCCATGGATCAGCTGATGAGCTGACCTTGCAATATAATCAAATCTGCAGTCACCTAATTGTATTAATTGCGCGTGTTTTATATCCGTACTAGGTGCGATTATGTTGAGCCCCGATTGATTAATTGTCTAATAAGGTGACCTGGCCCATACATGAACACAGCCAACTCCACCCTAATAATCTTCTCCGGCCTTTTGGCCTCTAGGGCACACGTAAAGGTGCGACGGGTACACATGCATCCACAGGGGCGCAAATTAAGCTCGCAAAAAGTCCAAATGACACGCCATGGCAGCAGCAAACGACGTACTACGAATACTGTTGCGATTTTTTCACGCGAATTAAATGGCGACCGATCGATCGATCGATGTGTGCATAGTGCAAATCGATTCATGCAGGACAAGACTGTACATTACGACCCAATGGACGCTACCGATCCGGGCCGATCATCGATCTCCAGACTCCAGCTCGTACAATACAACAGTACTTACCTTTAAATGTGGCCCCTCGAAAAAAAAAAGGAAAGAGAAAAGCACCTCTACTGTGGGGATCGACCTAGATAGATTGCCCATTACATCGTACACCTCTCTCAAGTTCTTTTGTTCACGTACGAAGAACCTGTCACCGTGTCACGTTAATTGAACAGGTCGATCGTTTCTTTCCTCAGATTGGCCCATCGATCGGCCTGTGCAGCCCTGCACTTGCCAAGTGGCGAGGACGAGGACGAGGACGAGGACGTAGCTATCGAGGTCGGGCGATGCTGGGAAATGCACGGGCCACTTGGCAAGTAGCACGGCGTGGCCATGGGCGACGTACTCGTACTAAC